GACTCTTGGCGTTTAGATGGTCGAGGAAAGGTAAAAGATTCGCATAAAATTCTCTGGTGGAGATCAAAGATAAGAGTTGAGAAAGAAACTTAATTGTGTTTTTATTTGTTTCATTAGGTGAGCTCGAGGAAACTTGTCGAGAAACTGTACCCTCGGCTCTCAGAAGAGATCGATATAGATCCGAGATGGGTACCGCTTCTGGATTACTTGAGTACATTTGGTCTGAAAGAATCACACTTTGTTCAAATGTATGAGCGGCACATGCCATCTCTTCAGATTAATGTGTTATCAGCGCAAGAGAGACTCGATTACTTGTTGAGTGTCGGTGTTAAGCACAGAGATATCAAGAGGATGCTCTTGAGACAACCACAGATACTTCAATACACGGTTGAGAACAATCTCAAAGCTCACATTTCCTTTCTGATGGGTCTTGGAATTCCCAATTCCAAAATAGGACAGATAGTTGCTGTAACTCCATCTCTGTTCTCTTACAGTGTCGAGAATTCATTGAGACCCACAATAAGGTATTTGATTGAAGAGGTTGGGATAAACGAAAACGATGTTGGCAAAGTTGTGCAACTTAGCCCTCAGATTCTGGTTCAGCGGCTCGACATTACATGGAACACTCGTTACATGTTCCTCTCCAAGGAGTTAGGAGCACCTAGGGACAGTGTAGTGAAGATGGTGAAGAAACATCCGCAGCTTCTTCACTACAGTATCGATGATGGATTCTTGCCTCGAATCAATTTCCTTAGAAGCATTGGGATGTGCAATTCTGATATATTGAAAGTCTTAACTAGCCTTACACAGGTTAGTAGATTTCTTGATTCATTTTCAAACTTAAATCTCTTGAGTTCTGATCTTCTAATACTTCTCAAATTGGTCTTAATAGGTTTTGTCTCTCTCGCTGGAAGATAATCTAAAGCCTAAGTACATGTATTTGGTCAATGAGCTAAAGAATGAAGTGCACATTTTGACTAAATACCCAATGTACTTGAGCTTGTCCTTAGACCAAAGGATACGTCCGCGTCACCGCTTCTTGGTTGAGTTAAAGAAAGTGCGGAAAGGGCCATTCCCTCTTAGCTCGTTGGTTCCAAACGATGAAAGCTTTTGTCAGCAATGGGCTGGAACTAGTGTAGATAAGTATCTCGCCTTTCGTCAGAGACTATTACTCAAGGAGTTTGCAAACAAGT